TATAAAATAAGGGCCTATAACTTGTATAATTTTTAAAGTTATTTACATAATTTTTGTGGCTATTATATTTTCAGTGAACTACTTGCACATACTAAAAGAAAATCTTTAATTAATTTAGTAGTTCGTAAGGAAATTAAGTCAACTATGTTCTTTTCTCTCTCTAACTTTTCCTTATCTTGCTATTAGGGATGGACGCAAGTCAGAGTAATTTCTATTTTGCATGTACTTACGACTTGACTTGTCTTATACTAATAATAAAATTTTTGACTTATACTTGACTTATTTAAAATAAATACTTGCTATTTCAAATACTTGATAAAAAATAAATGATTTACAAATTACTTGTCTTACTTTATTACTTATTATTTACGAGTACTTGTGAATTATTTACGATTTTTTTTGGAATATTTAAGAAATACTAACTAAATAATATTCTACTAGAAATAGACATGAAAGTTTGTTTTCTTTATTCTACTTAAAGTAACATGTAAATTATTTTAAACAAAATATTTGTTCATATTATAAAAAAGATAAACTAAAAAATGCATATTACGATATATAAACATTGTATAATAATCACGATAACAAGAATGTCTTCTCTAAATAAGTAACATGTAATAACAAATCATATAACTAAATTTTTAATATTTGTTGCTATGTAATACTTGATTAGATAACGACGAATATTCAAAATTCAAGATTGGATACGAAATAAGTAACAAGTATAAGAAGAGTAGTGATTATTTGTGTCCAGTCTTAAATGCAAGTAAAAGAAAAGACAAATATGAAAAACTAATTAATAGATCATGTAACAAATAGCAAATAATGGAACAAGTAACGGGACGGAATGAGTCATGTACTAAAAATAATAATGATACTTGACTTAGTCTTGTAAGTAATGAAAGTTGTTGCCTTGTTACTTGTCTTGACAATATCGATTACTTGAATTTTCAAAGCGGATAGTGATACGAGTCAAATACCAAATTTAAGGCGAGTAACAATAATGATGTCCAGTCCTACTTGCTACTTCTGATTGTCGTATATGATGAAACCTTATATGTAACTGTAATCTATACTATTATTTGCGAAGTGATTTTTCGCAACGGAGCTTTCACGTTAAAAGTTAGAGCAGTTAATATCGATATTACCCTTAATGAATAAATATATAAATCAGCCAATAATAAAAACGAATTTAATATTTATTTGATTAGATAAATAATTTAAATTAATAATAATGATAAGAATTATCCATAATCTATATATATATATTTAAAAATAAAAAGATAATTCCTATATATATTGTATTGTTATCCGGAAAATATATTTAATTAAAAAATTCAAAAATTCAAAATAAATAAATATTAATTAAGTAAAAACTTTAATTGTATATAATTGAAAATAAAAAATTTAAAAAATTATAATACGTAATTATTTTCAAATTAAAAGAATATAATAATATAATATAATGATATATATATTTGTCAAGTTATTTTCGCCTCTGGACTCACAAGTTAAATTAAATTTATTTTTATATTTTTATATATAAGTAATCCTTAAACATGAATTTATCATAATAAAATAAAAAATCATTCAAAAAAAAAACGTGTTTGGCAAAAATAAATTTTAATTGTATTCTTATCTAAACTAATATTATTTTTTTTGTAAAATCAATTTTTGAATGTATATTTATCGATTCAATTTTTCAATTTGAAAGATAGATTTCTATATTTTTATTATTAAGAAGAAAGGAAAGACTTTAGATTTTTTAAAGTTTAAAAGGAAGAAGTATATTTTTTTTAATTTGTGAATAAATTTATCATGTAAAAAAAATTAATGTTTTCGGTTAAAGTTTTTGGATGCAAATATCATTTATTTTGATAATTTTTAAATAGATTTAAAGATAATTAAGCTCGTATGTGCGGGTAAAATACCTAGTCTTTCTTTGTAGAGATAATTGGCTAAAGTGCCATATTTGGCACCTATAATTAGAGAATTGTCCATGATGTGACAATCACTTTCCTTTGGACCATTTTGCTCTTCTCTACACTCTCTCTCCTCTCTTTGACATCTCTCCTCTTTTTTTTTTTCTTCAATCTCTAATTATTTTACAAATCTCTATCATTTTATATACAATTAAATTTTAAATTTCATTATTTTTTCATAAATGGCTTTGAATCCTCAATTTTGACCTTTTTTTTTCTCTCCAATCCCTAATTATTTTACAAATCTCTATCATTCTATATACAATTAAATTTTAAATTTCATTATTTTTTTCATAAGTGGCTTTGAATCCTCAATTTTTTGATGATATCAATTTTCTAGGTTTTAGATTCGACGTCGTGTTAGCGTTTAACAAATATTGTAGACGTTAACAGAAGTGTTAGTTATTAACAATTATTTTTACGCTTCGTGTTAATAAATGTGTTCGCTGTTAACAAATTTTGTAGACATTAACAGAAGTGTTAACTGTTGACAATTATTTTTACGCTTCGCGGTAATAAATGTGTTGGCTGTTAACAAATATTGTAGACGTTAACAGAAGTGTTATATGTTAACAAACGTCTTTACGCTCCGTGTTAATGAGAGAAAAGAGAAAGGACATTTTCGGTATTTCCTTGCCAAATAGTTGTGTCAGTGTCATTCATGTACAATCAATGGTATTTTGCTAATTTGAGCTTCAAATATGGGTAGTTCACTAAATCACTCTTCTTTGTAATTGAAAACTTAAAAGCTTTAGAATTAACGGGCCTAACTAACACAGTTGGCCCTAAAACAAATAAAAAGTGGCCCACCAAAACTTTTAACTTAAGGAGTAAATTAGTAACATTGTAAAAATAAATCAAACCCGAGATTCGAAGGATAAGCTCCACCGTGAGTTAACCGTCGAATTCGAAGCTCCACCGCCGTAAAAGATCGTCTCTCTTCTTCGATCGCGAGAAGAAGGCCCGAGAAGCCGTGGAGAGTTCGAAATCTGATCTCCAAGCTTCGTTCAACCGTCTCAAGGCTCTTTGCTCACGAGGTAATCAAGAAGCGCGACGAGTCCAAGCGAGAAGGAGACGAAGCCGTGAAGGAGAAGGAGAGTGTATCAAAGGAGGTGGAGAGCGTGAGTAAAGTTTTAATGAATGAGATGATGACGTGGAAGCGTGATGAGGTTGTTAGAGATAGAGATGAGTTGAAAGGTGAGATAGAGAGTTCGTCTTATATGCTTGGTCTAGTGTTATCAAACGTGCGAATTAGATAGTGGAGGAGGAGCTTGTTAAGTCTAGGAATGAAGCTAGGGAGGAGATGGATCAACGGAACTATGAGATAGCTATTGAGGTTTCTCAGTTGGAGTCAAGGATTAGTGATTTGAGGTTAGAGGTTGCGGAGAAGGCTTCTGTTGTTGATGATTTAGAGAGTGATGTGAGTGGGAAAGATAAGATGATTGGTGAGTTAGAGGAGGTGAGTCTATTAGAAGGTGAAGTTGTGGAGATGAAGCAGTTGGTTGATGAGTATGATGGGAAGTTGAAGACTATGAAGGTGAAGATGGTAGCTCAGCGTCCTTTGTTGGTGAAACAACTGAATCTTGTGGTGAAGATACATGAGCAGCTTTACGAGGTTGTGAGGATAGTTGATGTAAATAGTTCGGTAGAGTTGGATTTTTCTGAGTCTTTCTTTATGCGTCAAGAGGCAGAGATGGAGGAGAATGTTCGAGCTTCTTTGGCAGGAATGGAATCTATCTTCGAACTGACGAAAGTGGTTTTTTGGGAAGATGCAGAGTTTGGTGGAAGAGAAGAGCAATGAAGTGAAGAATTTGAATGAAACTGTGGGTATATTAGTTCAAGAGAAGGAACATATTGGTACTTTACTGAGGAGGGCTTTGTCCAAAAGAATGATAACAGAGCAGGCATCCGAAAAAAGCGAATTGTTTCAGGCTGCGGAGAATGGTTTGAGGGATGTTGGTGTTGATTTCAAATAAACATTAAACCTTTAAAAGATGGGAAGGTTCAGGACACACGTGATGTCAAAAGTGTTGATCATAGTACAGAAGAGAATGAAATATATTCTCTTGTGAGTGTTTCTCTACGCCAGTTATGTTTTAGGAGCTTCATTCATTGGGGAATATTGTCAAGGCATCTCAGCTCAAGATTGTTGAGCTGCAGCATTCATTGGATGAATCAAGGCAAGCTCTGTGAAACAGAACTCCTTTATATCTAATTACTTTGATAGAATGTATCAACTTGGTTTCACTAAGGGAGTAAATGTTTAGTTTTACCACATAGTATCAGGTGGCAGGAACCATGAGTATCATTACTCAAATTCAAATGTAGGTATATTGATTCAACAGCTTTTTATTGGGAACGCTGGTGAAAGTACCTATTTGAAAGGCATCTATGTAATTTCATGTGTAGAGCATATATCTTTATGTGATCGGTAGTTTTCCAATGTAGTTTTCCGTCCAGTGATCTCGTTTGCTTGCTTTTCTAATCGCAACTTACGTGGACCACTTTATTTTGTCTAAATCAACCAGGGAAGAGACTAGTTCTCTGAGGAAACAATTGGACTCTCAGACAAATGAGCTTAACCAGAGACTACGCCAAATAGAAGAAAATAAAGAAAAAAAGAGAATGGCGAACGAAAATGTGAGTGGATTTCTCCTTGCTAGAGTTGTGAAGTTGACTGTATTGTGCGTAATTTGTCAATGTATGACTGAATCTATAATACACAGTCCCGATAAATTTGAGTTGTTTGAACTTTAGCTCACTTTGATGCTTAGGTTGAAGGGCTTATTACTGACATTGCTGCTGCTGAAGAAGAAACAGCAAGATGGAAAAAAGCAGCCGAGCAGGAGGCTGCTGCTGGTGGAGCTGTTGAACAAGACTTCACCTCACAGGTGCGTTATAAGACCTTCTGTTAGTCCAGTGCAGGAGCATTGTAATTACCCTAAATGACTTGTAGTAGACTATGAGAGTGTTGACGGCTCAGCAACTAATAGTTAAGTAGGTTAGCTAGAGAGCTAACAAGTTATAAGGAAGTTTAAGAGAATGACTTGGGTATTCAGGATTGCGTAGAGTTGATAGGCAGAGAGTTAAGATGATCTTAATCAAGTCTGTCTATGGTGTGTAGTTCTTGGTTAAGTGAACAAAGGAGTTTCAGTGGTTTTAGATCCCATCATTGTGATCTTTTCTATTTCTAGGTGTGCGTTACGTGACAGCTAAGAATGATAGTCTGAACTCGTATTGTCCTTGTTTCTTCAGCTGCATGTGCTTAAAGAAGAACTTGAAGAAGCAAAGCAAGCGATTAAAGGATCAGAGAAGAAACTAAAGTTTAAGGAAGAGACGGCAGCAGCAGCCATGGGTCCAAGGGATGCAGCAGATAGATCTCTAAGACTCGCAGACAATAGGGCAACTAGGCTGAGGGAAAGAATACAAGAACTAAACCATAAAGTTGAAGAATTAGAAACCCATCGAGATATGAACAGTTCAAACAGAGCTAGATATGTTTGTTGGCCGTAGCAACTTCTCGGGATCGATTTTGTGGGAGGTGGAAGAGTTGAGTCTGAAGAACAACAACAGAGTTCGAACGAGGTGGAACTCGCTTGAATCTCTACTATGACAAAACCGGTACTTTATACAGTTACTTTCAGTATTTAGTTTTTGATTCTTATGTATATTCCAGCTGATAAAGTTTTAAAGCTTGAACATGTTCTGTTTTCCTGTTGTAAACTTGTAATGTTTACACCCATCAATAAATCTGAAACTTGCAATCTTTTTGTTCACATTCGCAAGAGTAATAGGCTTGAAAATTTTCTGATGTTACCCGATTACGTTTTACAGGTGATGCCTTGCAAAGTATGACATGGACCAAGAATTGCTGTAGCCACGTGGTTACATAGCAACCCGTGGAAGTTGAGTCTCCACGTGTCAGTTGTGAGTTCACCTCGGGAGAACAAGGAGCTCTCCACAACGCACCATCTGGTTGGCTGTTCTCAACACGTGTCAGAGAAACAGCAGACCACAAAAACACTGAGAGAGATCACCACCACAATCATTGAGAGGTGATGAGTCTTTAACCATAACCTCTCTCGCGGTGACACGTGGCTAGATCACCGCTAGTTAAAAAAATTCGCCCACCGGAATAAGAGTGACGGCTAATCCTTCCTCTATATTTCTTCTCTCCCTTGGAAGATTTTCGAACTCTCACATTTTTACAACACGCTTCACAATCTCTGTGGATACCATACAATAACTAGAAGTTATAAAAACATGGGTCTTTCGCAATTTCCGACAGCTTCAGAAGGAGTACTACCACTTCTGGTAATGAACACGGTTGTTTCAGTCACTCTGTTGAAGAACATGGTGATGTCTGTTTTCCGAATTGTTGGATCCGACACTGAAGCCTCCATGGAGATAGAGGAGCGTGAAGAGCATTGCGTGAGAAGGAGAAGAGTCTCGATAAAGCCGTTCAAGTCTCTATGTGAGAACAGAGGAGAAGAAAACGAAGATGAAGAGAAGGGAGAAGAGTGTTGTGTGTGTCTTTGTGGGTTTAAAGAGGAAGAGGAAGTGAGTGAATTGGTTTCTTGCAAGCATTTCTTCCACAGAGCTTGTCTAGACAACTGGTTTGGTAATAATCACACGACCTGTCCTCTTTGCAGGTCCATTCTCTAGTGGCGGAACTATCTTGTTTAACACTTTCCTTTTTTTTCTCATTTCCTTTTGTTATGTTATAGGAAAATACCAACACTCTGTATCCTCTGTTTTGTCGGGTTTTTACTGCTCCGTTCTATGTTTTTTACCCTTTTGGTGTTTTTATGTTTTCCCCCTTTTTTGTATGGAAAAGGGGTTTTTTCATAATAATAAAAGACTTGAATTGCTGTGTTTTAAACTCTTGTGATTACATTTTAGATGAAATTGTATGCATAAAATATGGTTATATCTTACATTTATTTATTTTTTTGTTAATTAATGCGATAACCAGGTTGAGTTGGAGAGCATAGGCCATAGGTGAAGGAAAATATATGTTTGAAATTTGGAAAATTTTTAGACTTTGTGTTTGAGATGGTTTTTGCCATTACCATTAATAATAACGATATTATAGCTTTGTGGGGAAGCAATAGTTAGGTAGCAACATTTGGTAATGACTTTGGGTTTGGGATGGTTTTTGCCATTCCCATAGTAATAATATAGCACCGGAGAACAACTTCGTTGGTGCCGTAACAGCACCACCGCCAACATCTTCATCAATTCGTGAGGAAAGTCAAGTGGGATATCGCAAGTAAAGCCAGAGCCGTAACGTCTCCAAACCACCAGCACTGATCACCACCATCACGAACCGTGAAGTACCGAGAACTTTAAGCCGTGAGATTAAGTGGCATTATTCTTGTTCCTTGTGTGGTAAGAAATATATATAATGTATAACCTTAATTGTCATGCGTAGGAAGTAAGTGTGGAACTTAGGTGTGACTTATTTATAAAGATATTACTAGATTTTAACATGCGCTTGAAAGCGCGGAAATTTTTTATGATTAAAAAATTATATAATAAGGTTTTTGTCTTAATTTAGATAATGTTTTGGTATAAAATCAGTTCACCAAAATTTGTGGTGATGATTGTTTTTCATTAGTTTTTAGTTTCAATTTTTATTTTTAGATTTTTTTTTAGATTTTGATTTTTTGGGTTTTAGTTTTTAAGTTTCTATTTTTGATTTCAGTTTTTGGTTTGAGTTTTTAATTTTTAGATCCGCTGAGTTAGTTTGAACTGATATTACCAACAAAAAAATCTCAAATAATCAAACATCTAATTTAAAACTGAAAAGATGACAAAAGCTTTTTTTTTAAAAAAAAAATTGCAATATTTTATTTTGTAAATAAAGAATAGCAAAAAACTTTTGGTTTTGGATTTTAGTTTTTAGATTTAGTTTTTGGTTTTGCTTTACATATTTTTTTTTATCAGTAAATTATTTAAGAAAAATAAAACAATATATTATTTAAAAGTTACCATTGAAATTTATCAAAAAAAGGATTGTTATTTAAAATAAAAAATACATTATCATGTTTTTAAGTACATGATTTAAATAAATGATTAATAATAGATAATTTTGTTTTGTTAAAAATCTTAAATACCTTTTGGATCTGAAAAAATAATTGATTTTTTGATCCATTAAGGTGGAAAGTTTATTCAATGTTTTTTGGAGTTTTTCCTTAATATTAAGTCCAAAAACCAAATCATATAATTTATTCTAAAAACAAAAGTAAGCCCAAGACTATATCCCATAAATAACCACCGGTTTAATTTAAGTAATACGGTTCAATTAACTATATGACTTGTATTATTTGTAACACTCTAGAAAGAGTCCAAATTTAAATGACAACTTGTATTAGTAGATAAAAAGAATGACTCTATTTTAATAGAGTAGATTTACAAAGCTTAGACCGAGCCTTGCTGATAAGGATTCTTATTTCTAGAGCATTTCGTTTCATCTTCGGTCTGGTTAAGGTGAGGGGTTATTCTCATAAATTTTCGCTACTCGGTTTAGAACTTTTAGTCCATATAATTTAGTACTAAATATGTTCCATCTATGTAAATCGAATCTACTTGGTGTCTGATTATTTTTATTTATAAATTTGTTTGCTTAAACCTGAGATATGGTTTTAGAAGATTCAACTTTTGTTTGATTTCATGATGTTAAAGATTGTTATGTATATAAATATATGTATGGTGTGAAACCGTGGCAGAAGTTTTGTACTACGCATTAGGTGCAGGATGTATAGATAGGATTTCTATACCACACATAGATTGTTTGTGTAGTGACTTGCACGGGTGCAGAAACGTCTATGCTAACAATGCATAGGATAGACATACGGGATGCAAGAAAGAGTTCTAGACTACTTAGTAATATATATGAGAGGAATGCGGGAGTGCATGCATGAGTTATGTACTATGTATACTAGCTCTATACGGAAGTATATATTTATATATTCATATGAGGAACATGTGGGGTGTAAAGACTAATTTATGTACTGCCAGTGCATGTTACTCACTCCTCATTCTTTCCATTTACTGGTGAAATTGGCGAGCAAGTGCGATTCTATCGAATTGGTGCTATTGGACGTTTTTCTTATTTTTCAGATTTACGTAATTATGTTTAATTGATATTTCTGGATTTATTACGTATTTGAATTTATGGCTATTTATTAGATTTATAGAATTTAGAGATGATTTAATTAATAAATGAAAATTTCAGGATTATTATTTATATTATTTATTTTGCAAAATACGGATGTTACATGTAGCTCGAAAGTCATGTTTGCTCACTCACAACTTATGGTTTGCCGTGTGAATCAGCCACAAGGACATAAGTCTCACATGCACACCTTCTGGTGATTTTGATCTTTGCTGCAGCCATCATGGCATTAAGTGGTGTTAGTTACCAGAACGTTATCAAGACTGAGCAGCATATATAGTAAAATTTCTATAAATTAATAATAGGAACTTTGGTTTTTTATTAATTTATAGAGAATAATTTATAAAAAAAAATTTTTTAGATTTTTCTATTTTAAAATATACTTTTCTAAAATAAAAATAAATAAACATATGAAATTTAGAAACGTCTGGACCAATCCTCGGGATAATTATTTCGAACAGGAAACATGGAATTGTTAAAATATGGATCAAAAACTTATCCAAATAATAAAACTCGATGAAGTTTTCCTTTTTTTTTGAGAAATAAAACTAGATGAAGTTGCCTTAAAGACAATTCTATGCTCAAATATCTCAAATTGATGTCTTAATCAGATAAGATTTAATCATTTCATTGTTTTTATCTTCTTCGAGTTTCTTATCATACCATTTTTTGCTCTCTTTCATTATTTTTATTATTTTGATACCTATTAAATATTTAAAAAATGAAAATACTCAAGAAAATTACCAATTATATATATAGTTTTAAATTTTTATTTCCATGCACCCTTTTAGCTAAAGGAAACAAACGACATCCATTTCTTACAAAGACAACATTAAGAACCAGAAGATATGGTTGCCAAACAAGAAAAAGGAAGAAGACTGAACACAATATATCAAATATAATTAGCTCACAAAAAAAAATATCAAATATAATTTAATACAATCTAGATAAAATATGGAATATGTCCTTATTGTTTTTAATTATTCATCCGCAATGGACTAGACGGCTCTAGACGCTCTTAATGAGTCGTCCACTTACAGAACTTCCTATGCTCAAACTTGATGAACTCATCAGCTTCCTTGTCAACATCCACTTCTTTTGTAGCCTCTCTCCTACTCATCTTCTCGCTCTTCGTCCTCCTCGGATCTGCACACTCCAAGACATGGATTGGTTCTTCAGCTGCAAAGGAAACTCGAAACTCCTTCACTGAGTCCCCGTGATGATGATGACGAGGATGATGATGAGACTTGTGGTTAGAGGTATTTCCAAGTAGCATTCTTCTTTCAAATTAAAACCCTTTTAGCTCTTTTATTTGTTATGAATATGGTTTTTTGTTAGTGATACCGTTGTAAACTATCGGAAACTATCTTTATATAAGGGATCGATGTAATGTGGTATGTGGTAAGTAAAGACAACATAAAACGATGAGGGTGAATCGTATTCCCTCTAATCTCTATACCTATAGCAAATATATTCTTGAAGGCTTTGGCCGATTTAATAATATTCGATGCACATGTCTACAAATATGGTATAATGATAGTCTAATATATAAGGATCTAATGCGATATAGGGTTTTTAAGAGATTAGCTTCAACAACAAGAAAGTTTTTTGATTCGAGAACATTTTATGATACACACTACATTATTTGGACCCTTGAGACGTGGGCCCACAATTTATGAGGTTCAAAGGTATATGCCATGAGTATAAAAAGAACGGTAATTGGTAGACTAGGTAGTTACTGTTGGTTACTCGTCCTAGTTTGATCGAATTAGATGCCTTAATAATACGCAAAATTCTGAGTGGAGAACGTAGGAAAAACGTGGTTCTCTCTTTCTCCTATATAAATATTATATATTTGTCTTTTTTTTTTTTTTTTGAAAAAAGGAAATGGATATATTTGTCTTTGTTGCATGGTCAAAAAGAGATGCAGCTTTTTGCGAACCAGGTTGATCTGACCCAAACGCTTAGAGGATTTGAGGTTGTTCGAAGGGCCGGGTCAACTATCACGCGGCTACAACATTAAGTTCACTTTTACAGTTGTCCTTCTTTGGAGTCTGACGATGGACACCAATTTTATAGTGCCCTTTGAAACAACTTTAAAGGGAATCATCTTAAGGGGTAAGTTCAATACCATACCAAGAAAAAAAATTTGGGTTTTGTCAAAAACTTAACATTTGAAATATTTTACTAAGAATGATAAGTAGACGAAATTATGAATAAATAAATATATCAGACATGCGAAGATAGTAAGTTTAAATGTTTTACACACTGTAAATAACATAACCTTTCCACATATAAAGCCAGCAAATATAAAGCATAGAAAAGAAATGAGAAATAAAAATGCTAATATCTGGCTAGCCTTCCAAATGGATAAATCCGGTAAAGATCCAACTTCGAACACCAGCCAAGAAGATCCAGTAAATGCTAGTATTAATGGTGTCCGGTCCAAGAAGATTATAGGCCTATGTAAAAAAATTGGTAGATGATTAGAAAAAAAAAATATATATACAGTATTTTATAAATTAATACTTGATAAATTAATATACATTAAATATTTCTATAAAATAATATAATTTTATAGTTCTAAATTGAGTTTTTGGTTCAATTAGTATATCGATAAATTAATATCTTTATAAATTTATTAAAAAAATTTGGTATAGTCCCAACATTATTAATTTATAAAGGTTTGACTGTATATATATAGCTAGCATAATGCTCCAAAAGGAAAAACACAAACGAACCTACTATTCCAGTGACTACTTAGCTGATTCATCTCCGGTGCTAGAATCTCCCGGCTTAGCCGTAGGATCTTGAAGTATGTTAGTTGTCTCAACGCTCTTGGTACGTTGCAGCGAAGGAGTTCGGTGTAGCCTGCACCTGAATGAGCCCGGGTGAGTGGTCGGTGAGCAAAGACAGTTGGTTTTTGTAATGCTGGTCTGACGAGATAGCCCGCCAGGGCTCACTGCTGCAGGACTCTCCATGGTAGCTGTGATCTCCGTTTTGTCATTCATAATTTTAAGATGAAAAGGTAAGAGGAATCGAAGATGAATTAATAGTTATCCTTATTTGTGTTTGTATGGTCATCTTTAAGATTTGAATAAGCTTAAAAGCTGAACAAATCTCCCTTTTCTGTTTGGTCATCACGAGAATGATGATGCATTCCATTAAGGACCAACTATATCCTTCAACTTGTCATAATGTGTCAACTACTCCTATCCCTACAAGCCACGTCGGTCTTTTTCTTGTGGTTAATGGATGATACGATCATCCGTGATTATTAATCCCATTAGTTATCAGTTATACACTTTCTTAAGTGCAGTTTAAAAGCTTATACTTTATATTAACTTATACAAAATGAATTTGTATAGTGGCCTCTTTTGTGTGCAATCCAAATTTTTAAATTTTATTTAAATACAATGCAATACACTGAATATAAATGGGGTAAAGTATAATTAATAGCCGCCCAAAAAGAGGTAATCTATAAAATAACAATTATTAAGAAAAAGAATTATCGTAACAGTTAACTTATTTTAAAAACCAAAAGATAACCTATGGCAGACGCCTTAAGCTTCAAGGAGTGCTTCATGATATTCATTCACTCTGTTTGTCATTTGATTCTACATGTTCACGATTTTTACCCCATTTTGGAAATGTAGATGTTGATTTCTTAGCTAAGGCAATTGTGTATTCCTCAATTCGCTATAATACAAGCTGAAAAACTCTATTTTCAGTTTACTGAAGGTTTGGCATTGTTCGAGCTCGAATTAATTTGAAATTGACTTAAAAGATCGGGGATATTTGAATTAAGAATAACTCTAATTAAATATCATAATTGGGATGGCTGTTTTCTAATTCACCTTGTTTAATAACAATTAACAATAGTTAATTAAGTTTTTTTTATCAAAGTTCTAATTATTTATTCATTCTCAGGAAAATGAGCCTACTTAAACCTTAAAAGCATGGATTCTCCTCTTCACCTTGAAATACATTTCCTAACACAGATATGACTGATGAAAAATTCTGCCGTTGTATTAGTGTATCACATATTTTCATACGAGGTATTATCGTGACGAGTACCTAAATTATCTAAGAAAACACAAAATTATTTGAACAATTATCATTTTAAAATCCTAATTATGTACTTCCAATGTAACGATACTGTAAACATAAAAAATATGTGCTTCCGATGATTCGAGAGGATGAGAGAAAATATTAAAAAGCAAGTAGACAAAGGCTGTCTTTATGAATTCTGAAGTCAACTTATTAAAAATATCTAATTTCTAGAGATCTCGTTTTGTCCTTTTGGTGTTGTCTTTTTCCCCCATATGTTTTGTTGTTCTTCATAACTTTGCTCATATTCGACATATGTTATATACCATCAATCATACACTAATATACGCCAAAAGCATTCTCAGATAAATTTCTTAATTACTTTTGTTTTAAAGATAAATATAGTCCTTGCGAAAACAATATATATATCATTGGGAGATAAATTTATCATACCACTAGACAGAAACAAAGGACACAAGACTTTAGAGTTAGTTACCACTTACCCCAAACATTTCTCATAAACCTTAAGAAACGTAAATAAAAGCAACAATAATGGTTTAATAATCATGAAAGCAATACTGATAAAACATTCCGCCATTTCCACTCTGATGCATCTTAGCTGGATCAAACCCATTCTCACGATTGACCCAATCCAACTCTCCGTGATATTTCACCTGACCGAATCCGTTTTCTTCAACACTGACGTGACCAGTTAAACCAAGATCTGTCTGAAAACCGGTCTCTAGCATTGTCGGAAAAACACCAACTGACGTTTGGTTGATCTTTGGAGGTGTTGAAGTTTGTTGAGAGATAGGTTTTGGCAAGAAGCCTTGAACAACCTCTTGAAGAAGACCAGACCCAGCTGGTTCTGGTTCGAGGATTGATATCATGTTGTCATGATCAATGGTACTTGACCTCTTCGCTTTAGGCGAATGATCTTCCGAGACATCGTTAACGTTAGTGAAAGACTCGTTAACGAGATGACCGCTTACATTAGAAAGATTGTAATGTGGGTAAGCGAAAGGAGAAAGAGGCTGAGAGTGTAAGACATCACGTAGGAGGAACATGTTCATCGGAGGAGGAGAGAAAATACGGTTGTGATAAGAGTCAAGTGGGTAGACAAAGTTGGTTCGAGCTTTAAGACCACGCATGGCTCGAGCGGCGTAGTCATATGCGCAAGCTGCTTCCTCGGCTGTGTCAAATGTTCCGAGCCATCGTCTCTCCTTCGACATCGGATCGCGTATTTCAGCAGCGTAACGACCCCATGGCCTACGCCTAACGCCTCGGTACCTTATGGTCGTGCCACCTGAAGCCCCGGGGCCAGCTTTTGCGGTGGTTACACCTCCGGGAGAGCTAGGAGCGGTGGAGGAAGTTCTTGATGGCTTTCTCTTAAGAGAATGGTTGTTGGTTTCTCTGTGCTCAGCACCTTCAAGTCTCATGATTGCCTCTTCCATGGTTTGACTTAAGGTAAGCAAAGAAAGTATTTGTTTTGTTCTGTGGGTTATCTTTAGGGTTTTGAGGCACATGAGTTTGATCATGATAATAGGTAATAACGTATTTATAGAAGGAAAAAAAAAACACTCCGTTTTCATTTTAAATAAAAGAGGCCAACCAATGTACGTCTTTTTGACTTCTGATCACTTCATCGAGGATGTAGAAAGCAAAAGTACGTTTAATTAACGAAGCTCATGTTTTTTAATTTATCTACGGACTTGCATAAAATTGGAGTAATATGTTACATGTCTTTTTGATAAGTAACAATACCATAGTTATTATATACTACTTTTATCATCTTTATTGTCAGAGTATAAAGGTTTCTCGATCATGTTAAAACATATCTTTTCGTTATATTCTTGTGTTTTTAGTGCAAGACATGGATCTTACAGAAAACTTTCTTGAAAACAACTGAAACTAGACTAATAAAAATGGTACGTAAATTACAATTTTAAAATGTTTACCGTTCTAACTAGTTTGAAACACACAAAATTTGTTTTGACTAGTTTTTGAAGTTGTAACTATTTCAAAGATCATAGTTCTGTTACTTCTGTAAAACACTAATGTTATCATCCTATATACTATATAGAATCATTTGTGAATAGTGTTTTTATAAGACAAGAGTATTAACTACTATAATAAGACTATTTCATCGCTAAGGCTAAAACGAAAAATATGATATTTGCACTAATATATCTATAACTAAGTTTTAAAACCACATTATTTAAGTACTGAATCTGCACTTACTTTAACACTAAAGTTATGTTATGGTTAATTGACTTAATAACAATAATAGAGTTAGTTAAAATGATTTAAGATAGTAATTTGTGGCTAGGAAAGGAAATTATGATGTTCTGGAAGTTGAAAGGAGAGGGGTTGAACCGTGAAATTATGATTCTGAATTAATAATATACTGGCGGCGCTCAGAAATTGTTCCTTCTACATGAGGTTATGTTTTGTCTGTTCTTTTTACGAGATTATGGTCGATTTGCTTATTTAGGGCTTTGCTGTTTTATAAGTCACGTGGACTTGTCTCAACTAGGGTCATTCTTCATGGCGTGTAGCCACTTTAGAGCTTTCCTACTGTTGCTCGATTGTGACTAATGACCTCTCGCGTTTACAGAATTTAATGTCCCCTAATTTCATACATTTTTTGCTGATTATAAAGTTCCACATATACAGTTTTAAAACTAAATTATCCTTAATATCTTTCGCCAACTTGATCAATGTCGGTAGAGTATCTTAAACCTATGAAGTGGGATCAATGTCCTTTGCCGTCCGGACTCAAACACATGAGTTACAAAGTTTTTTTTATTGAGAAAGACATGAGTTGCATACTTGCATGCAATATATTTCGTGTTTTTTTCGTAAAAACAAATATAATTTCGTGTTTTAAACAATGTGTTTGTTGATTAAAAGAAAAAATATGTGTTCTTTTTAATTGGAAAGTACCAACTACATAAAAGAAAAGTACCAACTACATTCTACGTGATCAAAACCATTTTTGTATATATTTATCGCATGAAATCATTTTTTATCTGCAATCTATTTCTTCTGAAAAAAACAAACGTTTTGAAGTTTATTTGCAACGGTCATTTCTGCAAAAGAACATAAACTAGGTTTTCCCAGGAAAACGTTGTGTGTGTTTTTTTTTCAAAACGTCGTATTTACTAATTACTTTTTTGATAAGTATGTTAGTATCATTAAACGAAGCTGAGTTGTACATTTACAAGGATTAAACGGTAAAGCCGATTGATGCCAAAGAGATAAAAAAAAACAACAACAAAGGGCTTAAATGATGTGATAGAAGATCAACATCAGACGTTTAGTTCACGAAGCTCATTTTCTACGTTTGGACTTGTGTTTTACTTTTCTACGGACTTGCATGCATTTGTGTCTTGTTTCTTTAAGGAAAAAAGGAGAGTCTTGAATTCCTTGTGGCAACCAACCAAATGTTCATAGCCAAGTGGTTTCGCCAGGATCTATAACCTCTTTTTTATTACTGGAAGAATGGTAAAATATTGATAAATTATGTAGGACATAAATAATATGACACTATGGTAAAAATAGTTGTGCGTACAAGATAGTTTTAGGAATTTTGATCGCATAAATTTGTAAAGATAGGGTAAAATTATTAAATCGAAGCATGTATGAGCAACTTTTGGAAGACCAGAATATACACTATAACAAAAACAAAAATAATGTATGTTGCTTGAATAAGAGTTAATCTAAGGTGTAAGTGGAAACCATTTATAAAAATAATATAGATAATATAAATCGAATAAAGATGAATGGGTTTGCAGAAATTAAGAATAAAACGAATATAAGGAAAATTAAGTATTCATTATCTTTTCTACATTCTGCAGCAGTTTTTTTAAATATGTTTTTCTTTTCATTTCCCAACAAAAAAAATTACTCCCTCCGTTCCTAAAAGATCTATATTCTGAAAAAATATTTTGTTTCAAAAGATGTATATTTTATGTTTTCTATGAGAAAATTACAAGTTTCAAAAAGAAAAATTGGTTTTATTAGATTACTATTGGTTAAAAGTTGTTGAAAATTGAAAATTACTGAAAACGATAGTGATTTAATATATTTTCTTAATATGTGTGAGAATACTAGAAAGTCTATCTTTTAAGAACAGAGGGAGTAAAACTTTGATCTAATATTTGTCTACCGAGTTATAGCTCTATTACAAAATCTTAGAGTAATAACTTTTTCTAATAATAAATTACTTCAGTTAATATTTTGGGTCAAAATAATAAAATTCTCTATGACTAGCTACATATTCGTGGAATTAAACCTTTTTTTTTTGGACAACAAATGCTTATATTAAAATCAAGAACCAGATGGACAATTACAACCAGAGAGATACTCGACGGTAAGATGATAAGCTAACATAATTAAAACACAATGAAAGATAAAGGTGGTTAAAGAGAGAAGAAACCCGTAGAAAATCTTCACTTGTAATCTTAGATCCCGCATTCGATAGAACACAAAGAAATTGATATCGACGTTGAAGAACCCAATCAATGGGTTTTGGAAATAATTAAAGCTGTCTCTCAAGAAGTCTGGATCTCTTGATGTTGCAGTGAGATGCAGAGAGGCTGGCGGAGTAGGACTACACACAAAGTCGTCGACGATATAACTTCTAAAAGATAGCAGTTGACAGAATCAGGAGATGCTAATTGTAGGTGGCATTGTTGTGAGACGCGGAAAGACTGTCAGAATAGGACTACACGTAGAGTTGTCGACGGTACAACCTTTAAGATCAAAATAATCACATGAGAAAGGGTAGGGGAGTCATTGAAACAACTCTGTGAAGAATTAAACTATAAATGAAATATTGGAGGAACCAAAAGAGAAAAATAAAAATGAAGGGGAAAAGCTAGGAAAGTAGGTTACATGCAACGGTACGACATTAAAGTTGATACCAGAACTGTCTCCTCTCTACTAAACGCGTGGTTTTTTCTCTGCACAATGCCTCACTCTCCATGACTATTATGCATATATGTGTTTGACTTTTTTTAATTGCACACACGAACGCTATCATGCTATATAAGATTTCCAATATTTACAAAACCCAAACACGACAGTAGATGTATTATTTATATGGTTTTCAGCTACACAAACTAGGGCATGTTCTCTTTCTATTTTTCTGGGGTCAGAACTAGCACACGTTACACTCAGCTAAAAGAACGCATGCTAAGTTAACACTACCCAAAAATGTGTTTCAGATTTTTCGCTTTAATTTTGTTGGTAACCACGACGAAAACCGTTACTTTGGTTAAAAAGTCAGGGCCAGGACATGAAGTCATAAAAATTTATCAGTTAGGACTTAGGAGTTATCCCTCAGAGCTGATGAAGTGAACTTGTTTGTGATCAAGTCTTGCACGATCTAGATTACATTGGATTAGTTACATGTTATGACACTATTATATATATAATATTCCGATTATATATACCCGGGTTGACACTATCAGTTACATGTTATGACACTATTACTAGATTACATTGGATTAGTTACATGTTATGCCCCTAGAAAGTTTATAAGTGCTTTTTTTTTTTTTGGTAAAATGTTAAGTTTATAAGTGCTTGCCAGAAAGATATGAATATCAAAAGCGAAGATTTGGGTAGATCCTGGTTCCCTTTAAAACATACACCAGATTCATCACTCGCTATCACGTGATTCATCACTCATCTCTTTAATATGTTTACATCTATATAGTAATTAACTATGATTTATGGTGAAAATGAAACTCATAATTAAGGAAACAGTTCATCTGCCAATAAGTTAATTTTCAAATGAGCTCCGCAATTTCCCTGTTCACTATTGAGAATTGGTTAATTATCAATTTGCTTTATTTATTTTAGACACCGTTTCCGGTATAGATAATATGTAAGCCTTTTAGAAAGGTAAAAAAAATGGACTGTTGAACTGAGAGTTAATTCATGCCTCTCCTGAACAAATTGTCCCCTATGTTAATAAAGCTACCTTACTAATAAGTAATAATTTTATATCTAGATACACGTTTGGAATTTACTTTTTGTCGTCATTTGAAAATATTTTTATACTTTAAACATTATTTTTTGTTAGAGTAATTCTCCTGCGGTAAGAGCAACTAACTTTAACATTTTTGGTTAGAGATGTGTGTGATATATATATACACATTCCTCTTTGTCAAAAAAGAAATGTACACGTTTCCCTCAGCAATTTGGTTGTCCAAAATTTGACACCCAGTCCTGATATGTTTGTTAGATATCAAAAATCGTGTTTAAACGTTGAGAAAATAAATAGTGATTTTTAATTAAAATATTGTAAAAGATTAGGTGACATTGTCAAAATTACGTCCAAAAGCTTAGCTAGACTAAATTTTATCAAGAAAATAGAAATAAGCACAAGTTTATTTGCTTTTCTTGGTCTAGAATGCAATAATTGTATCATAAATTATTACGATCACTCAAGTGATATTAAACAAATGTATATTATTACTTTTAGTCCATCAGGCATCAGTATCACTAATTCACTATTATCCAATTTCGAGCAAAGAAGCGATTCATTACGAAAAAAGTTTGTGGGTGTACCGTGTACGTTGATCCTGCTTTGAATTTTATAAAATAGCCTAGCTCCACAACTTCATGGTGTACAGTTATGGTGCTTATAGTTTGTCGATCCGTAGGAGGGGTATTAAATTGTACTCTATTCTAGTTTATTATGATCCTTATGTCACATAGAAGTTTTATTTGTTGCATTTTTTACCAAAAAAAAAATCAGAGAACTTGCCATAAAAGTAAATATCTCACCAATAAATCAAATAAAAATTAAAACAGTTGGACTCTATTACATATTCTTTTTATTTTAAATATTTTTTTTGATGAAATTTCAAATTTATTGAAGAATAAAAAAGTTTTTTATGATTGTTATTTACAGCCTACTTCAAAATAAGGAGCGGAAGAAAAATGCTATACACTACACTGTATGCTATTTTAAATGTTTTTAAACAGTATATATTTAATTACATAATGAATTTTTACTAACAAAATTTGGTCAATATTAAATTTTAATATAATGATTGTGTTAAATAGTGGAGCTGCTCTGATGTATGTATATAAGTTTTGTAGTCCTTGGTTTGGTCTTGTATGAAACACACAAGTATCTCTTTTTAGTTTAGCGGTCTAAATAAATCGTCGGTTATAGATGGAAACTGATTAGATCTGCCACCATATCTAAAATTGTTTGTTTGACTATAAATCGAACGGCTACGGCTTTTGACATCGGTAAAAACGAAGATCTAATAAGAAAAAACAAGAAATCTAGTGACCTTTTCAGATTATCAATCTGTTGATTGATTTGATACTCTGTCCTTTTGAGTCGTCGAAAAATATGTAAATTTAAACGTTCTAAAACGGTGGATGTGGTTTTATTTTCTAAGGTAATTTTTGTACTTTTCTCCGACGCCATTTTGAAGACGATTCATGTATATATATGTTTATGCCCACTCATTTAAAAAAAAAAAAAAAAAACCTTTTCAAACATATATCTACGAGAACGATAAACGGATAAAGGATCGGAAATCTCTTTTACATTACAATGATTTCTTTCTAAAGCTTTACATTCATTTTACTTATTTCTACTTCTGTATAATATTTTCTAAAATTCAAATTATGATAATTATTTTCAAAAAGGTATATATGTGTTGTTGAATGAATCCAATTGAATCTTATTAAGCATCTTTCACCAAAAAAAAAGAGAATCCTATTGAGTAACTTTTTTTAAAAATGGATGTTTTTCTCATTAATTTTCATTATTTACAACTTGATTACTTTTAGTTGACATCTTAATTAGAAAAAATATGCAAATACTAGATGATATAACATCAAAAATCCAGAAAGCGATTATAGAGTTCACAGTTTAAAAGAAGTTCATAGCATAAGAAGTTCAAAATCTGGGTTTGGTTTTAATGTGAAGTAGAATAATTCATGCGCACTCGGCGAGATACTAACTTTTGTGTTAGGGAATCTGAATTCTAGTCTTATGTGATATATTTAGAGAATGGTGACGTATGGTTTTGCTAAACATTCAAAAAAGAATGAAACCAATTTATATGTTTTCCTCCATTCCAAGTAATCATATTAAAATCCCTTGATAAGCCCATGCTAGGTCTCTCAACAAGTCCATGCTAGTCTTCTCTCGTCAAACAAAAGCAATTCCTATGAAGTAGTTTCAAGTCTCTTTCAACTTTTCAATTCAATTTGTTTAGCTTCTAAACTTTGGAACCTCCTCAAAAAAGACGCTCAAGATTTTGGAGAGTCTTGGTCTTAGGTTTAAAGAAAGAAGCGGAAATTAGGAAATGCGTACCATTAATTATCACTAATCCACAAGTGTCTTGGCTTTGAAGCCGACACGTAAACACAACTCACACCCAACAACGACCCTCTTTTTCATTTTTTTCATGCTGTTTACAAGGAAGACTGATACGTCTCTAATTTTTTTTTTGCTAAAAGATACGTCTCTACTTTCCTTTAGATTATTACAATTCTTAAATTATCATCACATATTATAAAGTATAAACACACAAAGAGAGGTATGTGTAAGAGTTTAATTTGGTGTTGTCCACCAACCTAACTTCCCTTCTACTTCATCAACAACTCGTGTCCACTTTTGTTCAAGATTACTATTATAAACACGCCTCCCGCGTGAAAGCAAAAACGAAAACATCATAATAAGAAACATAGAAACAGAACTCTTCTGGCTTCACAGCCGATTTGTAATGGAGAAGAAGAATGCCAATCATGAAGATGATGGGCGTGATTGTGTTCCTCCTATCCATAGCCAAGTCGTGAAGATCAAGAAAGAGTTTGAGAAGATACAACACCCGTCGCTAAGGCAGCTTAAGATGACGAGGGTGATTCGAGAGATCACAAGTCCACGGCGTTCCCGTTCTCCACTCGGGTTAGGAGAAAGAGAGAGGCCCATCTCTGTTCGGAATTGATAAGAAAGAATGAGAGAGATGGAGATAGGTTATCCTCTTGTGTACTTAGGGTTTCTCTTTTGTCTTCCAATGTAAATATCTTTGGTTAATGTGATGAGTCCCCTGTTCAATATCCTGCATGTAACAACAAATCTTTGGCTTCTCTTCTAATCTCTATACCTACTCATGTGTTCTAATCTTTGAGGGGTAAACCAACTAGTTCATAGCTATATGTTCTCAAAATGAATGTCTTAACAAGGCACACGGGCCCAATTGATGAACGTGGGGAAATTTTTTCGAAATTCGTTTTAAATCTCTAATGGGCTTTTTGTTAAGAGGATAAACTTTTAAGGCTCAAAACTAGTATTTTATCTTTTCTTAGAATATTAATTATCACACAGTTCTTTAATTAAATACTAACCAGTAATAAATTTTTGTAGTGAAGAAGGTGAGTTTTCATATTGGGAAATTGTAAAGAATACCATTTTCCTTATACACATTTTCAAAAATACCTTAACCATGTTTACCATTAAAATTTTTGTAACCAAAATACTATTCTACCCCTCAGTTTAGTAGCGTAACCTAAATCTATTTCTCTTCCATTGAGACGAGTTAGGATAATATCTCCGGCGAACTCCGGCGAACTCTGGCTACAAATTGATTCATAAGCAACACAGCTCGAAATAGGAGGTGGAGGCGATCCCAACCGAGACAATGATATGAAAATTGTATCGAAAAAACTCTGGAGATTCTGATGAGAAGAAAAAGGACTCATTTGAGATTCTGATACTCCATGGAAGAAGAAGGTTCTTCTTCGAGTTGTAGAAATGGCGTCATTTGAGATTCTCAGTGAACATTCTACAAAATTCATCTCCTTTCTCCTCTGCTGCAAGCGACCTTTCAAGATTGTCAAAAAGGTCAGAACTTTACCATCTCTACTTACCTCATTGAATCTCTGGGTCTCACCACAAAACTCGCAGAAATAATCTCCAGAAAAGTGAGCTTTAACGAAAAGAGAAACATTGATTCTGCTCTGAATCTCTTTAGAACTCAACCATCATCACAGTTTACCCACAAGTGCTTATAATAGCAGATTCTTTTGGTCCCAAACTTCAGTTTTTAAAGTCAAGAGGAGCTTCAGCCTCTGAGCTCACTAAGGTTCTCTCAAAAGTTCCTAAGATATTGGGATCCAAAAAGGACAAAGCTTTGAGCACATACTATGATTTTGTCAAAGACATCATAGAAGCCGACAAGAGTTACAAGTTCAAGAAGTTGTGCCTTTCTTTTCTTCTGCCACATGGTTGTCATCAGGAGAACAAGATCATGAACATTTCAGTCTTGAGAGAACTGGGCATGCCTCAGAAGTTGTTGTTCTCACTGCTAACATCCAAAGTCCAGCTTGTATGTGGGAAAGACAAGTTTGAAGAGTCACTCAAGAAGGTCATTGAGATGGGAATGAGTTGGAGGGGGAGGAGGAGAAGGAGGAGAAGGAGGTGCTTTTGGAGTTGTTGTATCCGGGGCAGAGGGCGTTGTTGATGCCTGGTGGGAGAGGTGAAAGAGGGAATGCTTCGTTTAAGTCTGGGATGAATAAAGTTCCTAGGATTGCTGAAAATGGTGAAGAAGATCCTGAAATGTAAGTGTTTTATTTGCAAGGTATGAACTGATTGGTTTTGGTTTAGGAACAAACGAAATGTTGTTGTAATGTGTTAGTTTTTTGCTAGGATGAACCAATCATAGAAGATGTATAGTTGAAGGATCCAAGAACTTCATTTTCTGTTTAGAAGCATGACTCTAGGACACTCTTTGATATTTGTTTCTATTGTTGGTTAAAGTTTTATTCATACATGTGAATATTGCTTTCCTTCATATGAGCTTCCGGTTAGTTTTGCCTTTTAGATTTAACTCAGATGAATTAGTCTTAATAGCAATTCCTTAGTATCCAAAGGAAGTTCATGTAGATATTGATTACATGATTTAACTCTGATTCATTGGCTTTGTAAAGATGGGAGAGTTAAAGAAGCGAGGAAGTTGTTTGATGAGTTTGAGAAAGGCTCGATCCCTAGTTTGTTGACGTACAACACGTTGATCTTTGGGATGTGTGAGAAGGGAGATGTGATTGAGGCGGGGAGGTTATGGGGCGGTCTCAGGTGAATCATCAACAGACGCAGCAGCGGTTCAACCAAGGACAACACTTTGGCTTCCCACCAGATTCACCACCGCCAAGTTTCTTCTCCCAATGCAGCAGCACCACCAAGGCCTGAGCTGAATCATCAACAAATGCAGCAACTTCAGCCTGAAAGGCATTCTCAGACGTTCAACGATTGACCATCTTCTCACCAAGGTCAAGATCAGAAGCAGCCTTAGCCTAAGCCTCAGTAAGGAAAAAAAGGTCGTCGACATGAACTAAGGTCCTTAACGCATTTGGAATTGGCTATCTTTAGTATCTTTTTAGCTCAAAGATGATAACTTTGTAACTTGTTTGTGGCAGTTACTACTACTACTAGGACTTGACTATCTCCTCCTATAGTTGGATTATGAGCTCTGTTTCTGGTAAAGGTGCAGACTTTGAAATCTCGGCTTCGAATCCCACGCAATGTTCTGGTGGCTCGAAGCATTTAACGCTTGTTGGATCTGAAGAATCTCTGGAACCTGATGGAGATGAAACTGGTTATATAAACCAAACTTTGAATGAAGAATCGGATACTAAGAATGAGCTAGAACCAGTTACCGAGGATTTTGGCAATTCCACTTTAGGTTCTTTACCTTCCAAGTCTTCAAGATGATGAAGACAAGGATGAGAACCTTACTACTACTGTAAGTCTGCCTGTGTTAACTCGACATAATGGTTTATGTACGCAGATTGTATTGTCTCTGGTCTATTGGAGTTGTTCCTTCTTTGTGTGCAATTCTATCTTATACGTATAAGCTGGTCTTTCATTATGTTCTATTGCCAAGTTACAAGTTGTGTATCATCTCTTGGAGCTTCAAGAGTAACAGTAGTTAATTGTTTTGCCTAGGCTCGTTGAATATTTGGATATTGTTTACAGTGTTTTTTTTGTTTCAGTTTATAAAACTAACAAGTGATTTGCAAAGCTTTATAAATTAGTGTATAAATATTTGTAATTAACTTATAACTCCAGTAGATATTTTATAAACTAATTTATAATCTCTTATAAATTAATTTATAAGATTTTATAAATCAGTTCATGAATCCTTACTAACCTTTATAAATGATATATAAGCTTATATATATAATATTAACTCTTGCAAATGTTTTATAAACCCTTATAAACTATTTATAAATGTTTATAGATTTTATAACTTGTTTTATAAGTCTTTATAAATTGATTTATAAATCTTTATAAATTCATTATTAAATCCTTATTATTTGATTTATAAACTTTCATAGATTAACTCTTACAAATGGCTTCATAAACCTTATAAACATTTAACAAACCCTCACTGAGACAGACACTACTCATTGGAGGAGTAGTTCCTATTCTCTTCATGTACACTTCAGCCCTTGTGATGATGCACTAATATTGTGGAATGGTCATCTCTGGGATCTCCGTGTTCCTGATTTGATCAATCGGGTTGATCAATTTACTGATTATGGCGGTGGTGGCTTTCATCCTTCTCGAAACCAGGTATTACTCTTTAATCTGCTGATCATCTATCAACCAAAGCCTAAGCAATTTTCTGATCATATATTATATGGTTAAAGTTTTAAGCCTGTGAGCAGCTTGAATTCTTTAAGTCAGCAGCTCATTATTATGTCTTGGCTTATCTCGATATGTTGTTGGTTTATTACAGGTGATTATAAATTCCTGAGGTGTGGGATTTGAGGACAATGAGGCTTCTACAAAGTGTGCCATCACTGGACCAGACAGACATTAGGTTCAACTCTAGGGGAGATGTTATATACGCAAAGCTGAGGAGAAACATTGATCACTTAATCTCTGCTTTTCAAACAAGCCGTGTGAATCATCCGTTGTTTGCTGCTTTTCGCACTCTTGATGCCATCAACTATTCAGACATTGCCACTATACCCGTGGACCGATGTCTTCTCGACTTTGCCACAGATCCAACTGATTCGTTCCTTGGGCTGACCACAATGAAAGATCAAGAACATATGTTTCCCTCAGCTAGGATGTATGAGATTGGCAGCTGGTGACCAACAGATAAAATCCTCTAAGAGAGCAAAGGACATCTCAGCGTGAGACATTTCTTCTTCGACTATCCTCTTGTACTGTCCAGCTTCCATGGCTAGCTCAGCTTTCTCTCCTTGTAGCCTAAGAATCATTGACATAGCCTCACTCGCTGACGTGGCAGATGCTTCTCTCTCTGCTTCTAACTCATCTTGGAGCCTCTCAACTACTTCTTTGCGCTCATAAAGAGCCATTCTCAGATCAGTTATCTCAGCTCCTGGTATTTTAAAGCTGTGGCTTCGTTCAACCATGTCTCTGCACAACACACACACATAGACAACAAACTTATACATAATGTTCTGTAGTAACTGATCCCATAAAAAGTTCAAGAACACCAAAATAAGCAGCAGAATCTTAAAGGGAAGAAAGAATCTCATATTGTACCTGAGAAGTTGTAGAAGAAGAGCTTTTATGGTGAACTTGCAGATCCTATGAGGGTGATGACTAGTTTAATCTCTTCTTTTTTTTGAACATCGACTGTATCAGAAAAACAGTGAATAGTTTTGTAAAATAATATGATGAAATGCTGGAATATCTCAAACAAAAGAGCTGAAACGTGTTTGATGAAATAATCTTTGAATGATTTTTTTTCTTCGTGCTAAATCTTTGAATGATTAAAGCTTTAATGTAACCTTTAATTTTGCATCTAGCATGTCACCTTATCAGGCTCATTTCAGCTTGCAGGGTGTATAAATCTAACGTCATACCACTCAAATACATTAATTCTGTGATTCTAGGTTTGGAGCTTGGGTTTATAAACACTATCAATGATTTTTTAAAGCCTTATAAATATTTTTAAAAACCATTGCAAATGATTTATAAACTTTTATAAATTGTTTATAAATATCTATAAATGATTGTAACCCTTTATAGGTTCTTATAAATTATTTATAAACATTTATAAATGAGTTATAAATCCTTATAGCTGATTAATAAACTCTTTAAAATGATTATAAATATTTATAAACTGTTATAGATATTTTATAAAAATTTATAAATTTCTATAACTAATTTTACAAATGTTTTGTAAACCCTTATAAATTATTTATAAATCCTTATTAATATATCCATGATTCTCTTAAGTAATTGAATGGTTTTGTACACCCTTATATTTTTGTATATACAACTCTTAAAATTATTATATAAACTCTTACAAAATAATTTGTAAACTCTTATGAATTGATTTATAAACACTTATATGTTTTTGTAAACTCTTATAAATTAATTTATATATTCTTATAAATAAAGGGGACTTATCAATAATATTTTAATATGATTTTTTTAATCCATAAAAATTATTTTATTAACCCTTATAAATGATTTAATTAACCCTTAAATGATTTATAAAATCTTATAAATGGTTTACAAAAATTCTAAAAATAGTATATAAACATTTATAATCAATTTACTAAATCTTATAAATGATAGATAAACTTTTATAAAGGATTTGCAAACCTTTGTAAATCATTTATAAACATTTATAAACGACTTATAAACATTTATAAATGATTTATAAATTACACATATATTCTTGATGCATTTGATTTTTTAAATAGTTTTGTAAATCCATATAATTTTTTTATAAACCCTTATAAAACTCTTATATAAACCGTTAGAAGCAGAGAAAGTGATACAACAAAGCAAGCGCTTGTAGAGTAGAAACTTGACAAAAACGTGAGTGTGAACTTTATTCGTCTGTCCATTTCAAGAATGTATGTATACAAATGTGCAAGAAATTAGTGAAAACTAAATATGTTACCATATCAATCTCCACCACCACTTTATAAGGGTTTATAAGTTTATAAACTCTTATAAATTGTTCAATACGACATTTTTGAAATCCTAAATCATTGTTTATTAGATAATAAGAGTAGTACTGTATAAATAATTTGTTTATGAGTGTTTACATGTCATTATAATACAGATTTATGATTCATTTTCATGTAAAATATTTTATCCCTTATTTTATAAGGCGTTATAAGTTCATAAACTCTTATAAATTGTTCAAATTTGACATTTTCTAAATCCTAAATCATTGGTTAATAGTTCAATATCTTTTTATGAGTCTTTATATGCTTTTATAAAACAGATTTATGATTCTTCTTCACTTAAAATCTTCACTTAAAATCTTGTATCCATGATTTTATAATGGTTTATAATGATTTTATAATGGTTTATAAACTTAACATACTGTCTTTAAGATATACCATATATATAATGTAAGTCATGGTACGTACAAACACACACTGAAACTATTCTGAAATAAACAGCTCAGTTGTTAGGAATCTCGTCGCCTCCTCCCTTTGCGGATCCAACTACATGGGGCAATAGAATTCTCGGAGGAGTTAACTATGCGTCTGCAACTGGTGGTATCCTGGATGAATCAGGCCAACACTATGTACTTAAAGCTGATTACAAATGTGATTTAGTAGGGAATATTGAAGCCCTTAGGCCTCCAAAGCCAATCACTGACCTTCATGGACAGACTTCTTCAATTCTTCGACTCCTTCTGTTTCCTTGCGATGTTTTTTGTCCATTTCACTCATGTTGTCCGCCCATTTAATCTTGTCTTGAGTTGAAACGAGAAGATTTTCTGATGTGTTCAACCTACACAAATACAGTGTATAAAATTAAGCAAGGCACAAACCTTTAATGAGAACCAATAGAAGAAGAAAGCTAGGTCATAATATAAGAAATCAGCAATAAGTAACAAACTAGACAAGACTAAATAGTACATACATCAAAAAAGAAATAAAATTAAAACATTATAACTAACTAAGGAGAAGAAGGAAAGACAGTATACATAGTAAGTCAGTCACCTCGAAAGACTGCCATCACCTGAGGATTATCAAGCAAGATTCAAATGAGTTAAAGACTTTCCCAGTAACTCATCGAATTCAGATTAAAGAAAGAAAATAATATTCTAGTTGCATTTTTGGTCATTCCTTATCCCAAACTAGTTCACTGAAAAATATGTGCAGATGAAAACATGAAAAGAAAATAAAATTATTCACAAACCTGTGTCTGGTAGTTCCATATACACAAGGTTCCCGAATACAAAGTCAAATCTAAACCATAATAGTTCAACACCTGATATCTATATAACAGCGATTGTTTATAATTCTTCCACACATTTTATCACGGATTTAAGACCCGTAAGCTCCCTCTCATTCAACTCATCCTGCATAGTAAACATATAGTTAATGATAATCTGAGCCTTAATCTTGCGTCAGCAAGTAGTATGATACATATACGCCTAATGTAATTAATACCTAATGCATATGTTTCAGGATTCAAAGTGTTTAAAACTCTGAAGTAAAAGATGATAGTTAACTGAACAAAGCTCAGAACACGTTCTCGGAAATGTGCATTATATTAACACATCGATGTATAATGCAAGTTATCAAGTAAGGGAAAACTAGCCTGAGCAGCAGATGCATTGCCAGATCTCCTTGCCTCAGTCAAGTAAGATTTCACTAACTCGACAGGTGGGAACTGTTCTGTGAGTCCAAATGCAAATGCCAAGTTCACCACATCAATCTGTTTCCCACTGTTCAAGAGAACTTCAATCACACCTGCACATTAAAGATTAGGACTAATGGTGAATGTAGATAACTTTGATGTGCACTACAAACGTTAGAACATACAAATTCATCTTATCTTTAGATCCTTGACCAAAGAGTTGAGTTAACTCACTAAATACCAAACATCAACCTTCACATCAAAATGTCAAAACATGTAGGATAACAAGCCATATTTTTAAAATTAGAGAACAAACCAGGCATTTTTTCAGACAACCCAAGAGAACGGCAAAGCTCAGCTGCCTGACGGCGACGTGAAACCATAGGGATCAGCTTCAAGAGTTCCTCCTCTTTAAAGTCGGGAACAATAGCAAAAGTGGCCAGTAGTTGCAGGAACGCATGCGCCTCCAAAGAGTTACCATTGCAGGCATCCATCTCAAGATTTCCCAGCAGTGGATTCCATCCTTCAGCAATAGCTTTTGCTCTCTGCTTAACATCTTCTGAAAGAACAGCAATACCTCATGCAGGAAGCAACCTCAAACTTGTCAGCAGCCATAAGCACATCTAATAAAGCAGGTGCTGTCGTGGCAGTTAGAGAGTTGCTATACACAAAGTTCAATAGCTCCATCAAAGCACCTTCCTCTGCCATAAAAAACAGAGCATGGAAAATCAACATTGTGAACTCTCTTTGAACTAACAACGTATACAAATACCATAAATAAATAAAAAAACTAAATCAGTAACAGATTTAATACAAAAGGAATAAAGAATCAAAGCCAACAAGACGAGATTAACAATCATGAGGCCATAAATTGACGTACCTTGAGCACTAATTGTAAGGGTTACATGTCTTTGTTCTGATTCCCTCATTCCATTAGAGAACAGCTGCAACAAGAAGTAAAAGATAGTGTTAAACAGAAACAAACCAATAAGGCTATAAAAGAAATAAGAAAGAAAAAGACTTAAAAGAAACCTTGTAGAAGAAAGGGCTTTTAGCAGCCAAGATAGGAGAGCTAATATGCAGTTCCTTAACACTAACAACAGTAGAATAGTCTGTTCCCCAGTTTGGCTCACTACATGCATCAGTGTTTCTTCCCATCAATGTTTGGTGCCTCCATGGGGTAAAAACCTTCCAAAGAGTTCAACACCAAGCTCGCCGGGTTTGCTGGAGCCACAGGAATCTCCTCCTTTAGTGATGCAAGGTTCTTGCGGTTGTCTGATACAAACTTATGGAGCCCTGCTGAGTCCATATCACCACACAGTTTCAGTAACTGTGGATAAGCCTTAACCTCAAAGTTTCAAATCACAGGTGAGATCTCAGCCTCCTGCACAGTACCATCCCTATTCTCATCGGTACCATCAGCAGCAAAGGCATCGGGTGAATCCTCTAGACGTTCGCCAATGGGAGCATTGTTGTACTTAACCAAAGCATTGTTTATAGCAAACACAGCTGCGTCTCTCTCTTCTTCTGAAGCCTTTCTAGAGATACCTTCTCCTTGGCACCGCCGGAAGCAGCGACGTGGCCGGAGCAGGCGACGCTGGTGATGGAGGAGATGTGGGAAGGGAGGAGCTAGATGAAGATTTGATTTGATTTGATCGTCTTTCTAAGAGACGATAGATCTGTTCTTCATTCCATATGGGTAATTATGTCATTTACTGATGAGTGTTCTAGGTATTAATGAAAATGTCCTTCAAGAGAAGGTAAATCTGAATTGTGGTACTAGATAATGTGTAAAATTGCAATTCTCCCTTTCATATTTCATGTTCAAAATTTGTTATTTTAGGTATGTCAATGCAAATACATAAATATCATAATCGTTATCCGATACTAGACCATTTACACAAATATTAAGCTTAGATGCCGTGTAGACTAATTCTTATAGGAAAATCATTCATTTTAAGAAATACTAGATCTCAACCCGCGCAACCGCGCGGGTATTTGTTTTTATTTATTTTTATATAAACTTTTTTTACTTCTAAATTGATATATATTATATAAGGTATGTATATCGAAAATGATGATTAATTATTATATAGTATAGATTAATTATTGTTAGAAAATGATGATTTTGTTATTTTTAAAAATAAACTATGTAATTTTTAAAGTTAACATCAAAAATATATAAATAATTAACTTATACGATTACAATATTAAATTATATAAGTTTAATTTAAACATGTATTTTATTATAATATCTATAAATCCAATGGATCATTTAATTTTTATTAGCCCAATAAAAATTTCTAGTAAGCCCAATAAATATTATTAGTGAATCTAATGAATGTTATTAATGATTAAATAATGTAATGTTATAAATGCTATTAGATGGTTCATTTTAAAATATCACACATGAAGTGAAGTCATGACTTCTCTTTTAATATATAAGATGTTTTACGTACATTTTCGAACTAGGCACCGTCAAAACCGATTTTTAGTATATTTATCATCCAAAGGAAATGCAATGCACATTATTATGTACTAGAACTACAATATACCAACGCTAAAGGGAGAAAAATGGTTATTATTTATATCCACATTACTTTCAATGTATATACAATTCTTTTTTCACTGTATATACCATTCAATTATAATCAATATAAGCAGAACTGAAGATAAAACAAAAAAAAGTTACATTAAATATCTTTTTAAAATAACTTTAGCAAGAACAATCCCAAAGAACAAAAGAACAAAAAAAAAAGACTGAAACAATGGTGGAATAATAAACAATGGATGAAGAAAAGGAGACAACAAGAACAAGGAGGATGAAGCCATCAAACTCTACCTCTGACCACCTCCCATAACATTACCACGCCTAGACCCCAACGTCATCATAATCTTAAACTCCTCAAAATCAATCGTCCCATCTCCATCCTTATCAACCCCACCAATCATCTTCCTACACTCCCCAATCGAACACTCATCTCCAAGACTCCTCAAAACCTCATGCAGCTCCTCAGCAGATATAGACCCGTTCCCGTCGATATCATAAACCGAGAACGCATCTTTCAGATTCTCCAACACCTCGTTCTGATCCATACCTTTCGTGTTCAGCTCAACGAACTCCTCAAAGTTTATGTAACCGTCTCCTTTACGGTCGATATCTGTTATGGCCTTCTCCAACACCTCCTCTGGAACCTCGTGGCCTAGACTTGCCATGATTGCACCGAGCTCTTTGGAGGAGATCTTACCGTCTCCGTTCACGTCGAATTTTTTGAAGACTGCTTCGAGTTCACGGATCTCGGTTTTACCTGAACGTGCCTTGTGTAGGAAGGGAGAGTCTGCTCCGGTTCTAGACGTAGAACCATTGGATTGGTTTTTGTTGTTGGACATGGTTTCCAAATCTCTGTGGAAAAAAAAAAGAGAGAATCAGGAGTTTAGAGAGATATTCGTATTTGTTGTGATTCCAAAGGAAGCGGATGAATCTCTGGATCGCTAGCTATTTTGAGGTTCCCTTTCCGACAAAAGCTCGGATTACATAAATGGACTTAGTTGTGTTTTGTTTTGTCATAATTTAAAAATGGATATAGCGATTGTATTTGATAATTTGATAGTTTTTGGAAATGAGAAAATAGAAATGGGAGGCATGTTGATAAGACGAGCTTCGAGGTACTCATGCGTAAGTACTGCTCTTCCAGTTCTCTAAATGGGCTTCTAGATAATTAACAAGTGGCTAGTGAATAAATAGATTTTGACTTTTTCCAAAAAAAAAGAAAAAAAAAGTTTTTGAGCATTAAAAAGTCAATATCATATGAAAACTTTCAACCATTCATCATAATTCAAAAGTCAATATGGTCTTTAATAGCTTGGCTGCTTGGTCATTAATATTTAATAATCGTATAGTAGAATCTCTATAAATTAATAATGTCGAAATTTTAAAAGTTTATTAAATTTATAAAGATATTTATTTACAAAATTTCCTTATTTAGATTTTTTTTCTAAAATATATTTATTCTAAGATAATAAAAAATTGATTTTAATGTGTAGACAATAATTATTATTTTTTTGAAATTTTACATTTATATTAATTATAATATATTATTTGCTGTTTGTAATATATATATATATATATTGCATAAAATTTAAATGTGAATTTAGATATAGTATTACTAAATTTCATTAAAATATATAAAATTTTAAGAAAATATAAAATAATTCCAGTGTAAATATAAAACAAACAATATATATTCTATAAAACAAACAATATATGTTCTCACTTATCTAAAATATGTATACATATAAATAAATTATTAATTATAATTTTAATAGGACCATTTATTTACATAGCATTTTCTAAAAATATTATCTTATTGTTTTAGCGATTTGTGTCAAATTTTAAACCAATCTAAATTAATACCGATAAAATTTATTAATTTATAGAGGTTCTATTGTACTTTATTTCACTAGTCCATTTAATTAATATTAATGATTGTTTCTGTTGTAAGGATTTCATGAGTTAGCTAGGTTGGACCATTATTTTAGCTTAGGTTGGACCATTATCTACTCACAAAGGATTTGACTAAGGTCTTTGCTTCATATACCTAGGCCATGTAAACTGTTGGATATACATTTCCAAAGAATATACTATTTTTCAGTCTATTATGTTGCTTCATGTTTCAGTAATATACGCACTCTCCTTGTTTTTGTGTTCTTGATTGATGTGACAAGATTCTTGACATTCTACTCTTTTTTATTTTGTCAGCAAACATTTTTTTCCACATCTAACCAATGCCTTACATACTTCAGATGAAATATATTTATGAGTATGAGCATTAATTCTAGAAAATTTGCCTTTTTTGTTCCCACCTCCAAAACTCGTAAATCAGCAAACTCCTGAAATAGTCATGTAAACCTTGAATTCACTAAACCTAGTCGCAAAAGACGACCAATTGCTTTGTCTTGATGTTATTGTAATTCAACTATCATATCCTACCATATTTGTTAAACATAACATCCTTTTTTTTAAAACACTTTCTAGATGGTAAATTAGTTCATGAATTAACTATGGCTAGCTCTAATGAATTATCAAAATGTAACAAACTTCATATATAACAATAAAAGTTTTGCATCAATCTCTGTAAAATGTCTTCCACTTATCTTCTGCTAAGACCATGTTTATTGCAGGTCCCTTAAGTTGGGTCTCTTAGCGTACGGTCCCTTAGCTTTTAACTGCAAACGCTAAGGGACGTCCCTTAAATCCCTTATATAAGAGACATCCCTTAACGTTTTCAGTTAAAAGCTAAGGGACTGTACGCTAAGAGACCCGTTTTAAGGGACCTGCAATAATCATGCTCTAAGTTTCTAACAACAGAAAATGAGACACAAGAGATGATGAATATTATAGTCTCAATGTAAGATCAGGCTTTGAGCAATTGTTATTAATATTATCTACCACACTTCCATTTGCTGCAACCGAGTCAAGATCAAGACCTGACTCTCTAACAGCCACCACCACTGGAGCTTCAGCTTCCTCCACGACCTGACGAAAACTCCCGGGCCAGAATAAATCGCTACCATCATCATAGTCAAAGAACAACGGCACAGTGTTACCAAAATACCCTTGATGATCATGAAACCTTGCAAGATGAGGAGGAGGAAGCTGAGGCTGGTGAAGTAGACCGGAGTGAGCTTGCATCCCTAGAGAAGAAGAAGTGTATGTGTAGGGCCTGTGATGCTGACCAAACATTCTTCCCATGTGCATTGCTCGTTTAGCTATTGTTCGTTCTCGCTTGTGAGCGTTTTGGTGACCTCCAAGAGCTTGAGAGCTATAGAACTTGCGTCTACAGTAGTTACAAGAAAAGACTCTCGGGTTGGATTCACACTTTGTGCCCTTTTGTTCATCGTTGAAGCTATCGTTGAGCTTGAGATCGAGTGAGACAGGTTTGGACAGATCTTGATGTGACGAGGTATCTCCTTCTCTAGCTGGTAATTCTCGCGAGGCATCATCAGGTTCCGTCATTTAATCAAACTTATTTATATCTTAACCTGAAAAAAAAAACATATTAAAGTCAAAAGCAGATCAAGAAACGTTATAATCCCTCTAAATTCACTGATAATGGACAATATATAAATTCAAGAACTATATAAAGAAGAGACATTAAGTAAAGTCTTAAACAGAGTAACTCTATCAACAAGTTCGAAGCATAAAGAACAACAATCAAATGAATTTTTTGAGCTTTAATTATGAGGGAAAGAGAGAATCTAAGACATCAAATAAATGATATAATGAACAAGAATTAAAGATCAGAGAAAGAGAAAAAAAAAACAAGGTAAGGAGTGTTGCGTTTACAAAGATATGTTGAGATCTGGGAAGAGACAGCCGACAGAAACTGAAGTGGTTGACTTAGAAGCTTAAGGAGAGTTAACCAAAAATGGGTCAATCCAGATGTATAAGGAAAATAAAAGCCAGAGAGATGAGATAGGATTGGTGAATAAAAGTAGAGAACAAGAGGTACTGAAGAAGAGAGAGAGAGAGAGAGAGTTTATGTCTAAACAAATATGGAAAACACAAATGTTGTAAGAGATGGGAATGGTCTGGTGGAAACACATGTGGGAATCTAAAGTGTCTACCAGTTAGACCTCTGTCTTTTTTGTATTCAATAGTCTAACGACCTTTTTCTAGGGGGCACTTAGTAAAATACCTTTTCTTACAACATTGTTGTGTAGGTGTAGCCTTCTTACAACATTGTTGTGTAGGTGTAGCCTTATAGGCGTTGGTGCGCACGTCGAAAGTATTGTTATGCGTTCACTGTAATGGGTTATACACTTATTTTACTACCCTATAGGCAAACCTTAAACTTTTAAAAGTTCACAAAAGCTCTTACTTTTGGATTAAGTTTATAATTGTGTTACAAAAAACAAAGTTTATAATGATTTTGTTAAATAATTTCTTTTGTTATTTTCGTATCCGGCTCGCTTCGGTTTTTATAAGTTTTGGCTAGTTGTGGTTTTCGAAAAATTTAAATCATAAACCATCTGTAATTCAGTTTGCTTTTAGCTCATAAAAAAAAATTATTATTTGGTTCAGTTTAACACCAATTTGGTTGACAACATTTTCATAGCGTAGTAGTTCACGTTCTTCAAATAAACACATAACAAGTAGCCATTTACATAAACATTTCAATAACTTATGGCAAAATAAACAAAGGGTTTCTTAAATAATCTTATAGGGCCGGATGAGTTTGCCTTGAAAGTGAACAGAACAATACGTACATTAAGGAATCAACTTTCACATCTTGTTGTTATTAAAGTCAACTTTTACATCTTACAAAAAAAAGAACAACCTAATATATTTCATAAAGTTTAAAGAAAAAAAAACAACCTAATTATATTTCATAAACTTCAAAGAACCATTATATTTTTCAACTTTTATCTCACTCGTCAGAGCAGAAATATTTTAATTTGGATCATTTCATGAATATTTAATAATTGAACTCTAACAATTAATAATTAAAAAGAATGGAGCGGAGCAGCCCAAGGGATTTGATAATGTCGCATGGAGCCCATACATTCATTCCCCCGGCTTCACCTTTTCCATTTGACGTCAACATTTTCTTTGTGTTTTTCTGAAATTTTACATGTGATTCAAAGTCTCTGCTTTTTCTGTCCCTTTTCATTTATGTTTTCTTTCTTTTTTCTCGAAAGGTAAAATAAAACAATGCTTTCGATACTGTGTCGGTTGTTGTTACCAATAACTTGTGCGGTAAAAAGAAAAAGAAGATTTGATTTGAAGGAACTGTAGTTTTAGAGCATGTTTATCAAGGTATTTTAAGTGTGTCTTTTAAAATATCTATAATAATAAAGTTGACATATCTGCCTGCTTAGGCTATCCACGTCTCTTTTGAAGGTGGGGGCTTTTTCTCCAAGTGTCACCATGTGAGTGGTCTGTGTAGTTGACGTCTATTGTGTGCGTCCGTGATTTGCTTCTCGCGCGTTCATCTTTTATTAACTCCACGCGATCAAAGTCTCCACGTAAGTCTTCCTTCTTCCTTTCTCTCACGCACCTATTCCGACAACCCAAACGACGCCTGTTACGAAACTTCGGTCTTCTCCACCTTCCACTACCTCCCTCCTCCATAATTGAACAAATATAGCTTTTAACGAACACCCTAATCCCTTCTTTTAATTCCTCAGTTAAAGCCGCATCAGTATATAATCGATGTCAATTTACGGCAGATTTAACCACGCCGCCCTCTTCTTCCTATTTCTGAGTAATATCTCAGAATTTTACTCCGGATGTGATTGGTTCTCAATCTCGTGTGGGTTTTAATCAGAAATCAGAAGCCCAGACAAATTAGCCTTCATCGTCTTCTCGCCTTCCCCCTTCAACAGCGGTGAGTTCTCTGTTGGAGATAAACTTGAAGATAAGTTAGAATATAAGTCATCCTAATCCTATTTGTTTTAGGATTATCGAAATAGGTTTTAATCTCTATATAAGAAGATGGTGAGTTGTGCCATAAACGTGTGAGTTTGAGAGATTATTGTGTGAGAGCTTAAGTTTTGAGAGATTTTCTTGAGCTAATAAAAGTGTGTTTGATAATCTTTTGATTCATACAAAATACGTTGAGCTAATAATTGGTATCAGAGCTTCACAATTCTGAGATCAAAAGATTAGCAAGAGATGGGCGATATTACTACCGTAACCGTGAAGCCAAAGGAAGGGCTTTCATCGATTAGTTGTCCGATGCTAACCGAAACAAACTATACAGTATGGGCAATTCGAATGAAACTTCTTCTCAAGGTTAACAAGGTTTGGAATATTGTTGAAAAAGAAACAGTTGAGAATGAAAAGAATGATATGGCCATAGCACTTATCTTCCACTCTATCCCCGAAGCACTTGTGTTACAAATTGGAGAATTAGAGACAGCAAAGAAGGTTTGGGAAGCCATTAAAGCACGTCATCTAGGTGCAGACAGAGTAAAAGAAGCTCGATTACAAACCCTAAAAGCAGAGTTCGATCGCTTGAAGATGAAGGAAACCGATACAATCGATAACTTTGCCGGCAAGCTATCTGAAATTGCAAGCAAATCTGCAGCTTTAGGGGAAATTTTTGATGAGCCAAAATTAGTCAGGAAGCTTCTCTCAAGTGTACCTCGAAGCAAATATATACAAATAGTGGCGTCCTTAGAACAGTTTCTTGATCTGAATGTCACCAGCTTTGAGGATATTATTGGTCGGTTAAAGACATATGAAGAACGAATAGCTGAGGATCAAGCAGACAAAGAAGAAGACCAAACCAAACTGATGTACGCAAACTCTGAGAACTTTCAGCAAAACCGGGACTACAATAACAGAGGAAGGGGAGGAAGGTTCTATGGCAGAGGACGTGGTCGTGGAAGAAACTATAGAGAGTTGGACTTATCCAAAGTAACATGTTTCAGATGCGACAAAGTTGGACACTTTGCGTCTGGTTGTCCAGATAGACTATTAAAACTTCAGGAAGCATATGAAAATAAGGCGGAAGATACACAGGAGGCTGATAGGTTACTGATGCACGAAGTTGTTTACTTGAATGAGAACAATGTGAGGCCGAAGGAGTTTGAAACAAGTTCAGATAACAACAGAATATGGTACTTGGACAACGGAGCTAGCAACCATATGACCGGGAGACGAGATTACTTCAAAAACATGGACGAGACAGTAACAGGGAAAGTACGTTTTGGTGATGATTCAAGAATCGACATCAGAGGAAAGGGATCAGTACTCTTCATCAGTCAAAACGGAGAAAGAAAAGTATTGGCCGATGTTTACTATATTCCAGACCTCAAGAGCAACATAATTAGCCTTGGCCAAGCAACCGAATCGGGCTGTGAAATCAGGATGAAAGACGGTTACTTAACCTTACATGATAAAGATGGCAAGCTCATTGTGGAAGCTAAAAGATCAGATAATCGTCTTTACAAGGTTTTCATGGATAAAGTAAACACTGAATGTCTTCATGCGACTACTCAAACCAAAGAAACTATCTGGCATGCACGCTTAGGTCATATAGGAGTAAACACAATGAAGAATATGGTGAAGAATCAGTTGGTAATGGGACTACCAAAGCTCAATGTCGAAAGTGAGACATGTGGAGCTTGTTTACTTGGAAAACAAGCAAAGCGTCCATTCCCAAAAGCAACTCCATTCAGAGCCGAGAAAGCCTTAGAACTCATCCATGGGGATCTATGTGGACCGATCACACCACCTACAGCTGGAAATAACAGGTACATCTTTGTACTCATCGATGATCATTCAAGGTACATGTGGACCATTCTTTTAAAAGAGAAAAGTGAGGCGCTCAACAAGTTTAAAGTGTTCAAAACTATGGTGGAAGCAGAAACAAATGCAACAATCAAGACGCTGAGGACTGATAGAGGAGGAGAATTCACATCGAATGAGTTCAAAATTTTCTGTGAAACTTCTGGAATCAACCGGCATTTAACAGCTCCACATTCACCGCAACAGAATGGTGTTGTAGAGCGTCGAAATCGAACCCTACTAGAGATGACCAGGAGCATTCTTAAACACATGAATGTCCCAAATTATCTCTGGGGCGAGGGAGTTAGACACTCTACTTACCTGATTAATAGAGTTGCAACTAAAGTNTTTTCTGTGAAACTTCTGGAATCAACCGGCATTTAACAGCTCCACATTCACCGCAACAGAATGGTGTTGTAGAGCGTCGAAATCGAACCCTACTAGAGATGACCAGGAGCATTCTTAAACACATGAATGTCCCAAATTATCTCTGGGGCGAGGGAGTTAGACACTCTACTTACCTGATTAATAGAGTTGCAACTAAAGTGTTGAAAACTGCAACTCCGTATGAGGTCTACAAAGGAAGAAAGCCAAATGTGGAGCATATCAAAGTGTTTGGGTGTATCGGATATGCCAAAATAGATACTCCATATCTAAAGAAGTTAGAAGACAGAACCAGAAAGCTTGTACACCTAGGAATCGAACCAGGGTCCAAGGCATACCGGCTACTTGATCCCACTAACCAAAAGGTCATAGTTAGTAGGAATGTTGTTTTTGAAGAAAACAAAAGCTGGAATTGGAGTGGATCAGGAAGGGAAAGTAATGAAGAATCAGGAAAGTTCAAAGTAGAACTTGGAGAGTATGGCAATAATGGGATGAAAGAAGATGAAGACATCGAAAGTATTCATGATGGTGAGACTTCGGTGGAAGATGAGGGAAATATACAAGAAGTCTCCCCGTTACAGATTGAGTACGGAACAGAGCAAGCTCAGCACGAAACAGAGCAAGCTCAAGCAGAACTACGACGTTCAATACGCATATGTAAGAGACCTAGTTATCTTGATGACTATGTCTATCTCTCTGAGATCGAAGGTGAGAGGATGTTATTGTTAGTAAATGAAGAACCATACAACTTTGAAGAGGCAAAAGAAGAGAAGGTATGGAAGGATGCTTGTGATGAGGAGATGTCTTCAATATTACGCAACAAGACGTGGGACTTAGTTGATCTGCCCCCAGGAGCTAAAGCAATTGGACTGAAATGG